GCTCTTTGTGATGTTTGTCTTGAGTTCTTGATGCTTTTTATTATTTTTGTCTACATTAGCTTTTCTTCTCTGCTCTTCCATTTGTTCTTTCTTCATTGGCACTTTCCCGGCTTGGTCCTCTAAAGCCTCATTGTTAGATGTTGGGGAGTTATTATTTTCATCATTTAGCCAGCTTCCATCGCCAGAACAGCTACGGTCACCCTCTTTGTTCTTGTAAGAATCGTTACCCAACCATGCTGCTTCGTCACCTTGGCTGCTTGAAACGGACAGTTAAAAGATTAAAACCTAATCAAATGTAGGAATATTCAGAAAACTTTACAATTAAAAGAAATGATTACCTTGCAGAATCCTTTGGGACGAGCTTCTTCCAACCTTTAACTAACGACTTGGCAAGTTCTCCAGCTTGTTTGTGTCTCCGCAGCGAGTTCACAGTTTTGCCAATTCCAGTTTCCTGTGTGCATTTTAAACTTTTTTAGTGAATACCTTAAAACCTCTAAATATTTGTAAAGCTAATTTTATTTTATGCAGGCTTACAGAAAGAATATCCAATGTGATATCCAGATCCTTCAGTTTCTGCAAAATTTTCAGAACCTAAAGAAGAAAAGGAGACATTAGGTGAGTGCATGTTTGGTAGCTGGATGTTCTTATTAGATGTCGGTGAGAACATTCGCTTCTAAATAAAGAAGCAAGTAAAAAAAGAAGCAAGTTAATATGTAATCCCATTACTTTTTGTGCCTTGATATGGTAAAAAGAAAAAAATGTAACTGTTAATTGTAAAAAAAAAAAAAAGAAAGAAAAGAAAATTAAATCAATAAAAATTTAGATTTCTAGGTTGCTTTTAACCACCAAATCTTTTTTTATAATGAAAAAAAAATTGCCTTTGTAATAGATATCCAATGAGAAAATGAAATAATTCCTATGACAGTTTCTTTTTGTGGTCAAAAACTGGAGGCCATCACTACGGAGAAAAACTTCTCATTTCCTCATATTCTGACAACCTCAAAACCTGAACTTGCAAAATGGACAGAAATTATTCTGTGTCACTTCCCATAAATGATTTTCAACAGTGGGTTCAAGTAAAATAAAATAGGCAAAAGGCTTGAAAAATGCTGATTGTCCAAAATAGAATTTCAGGCATGAATTTATTCTATGCATTCTTGAATATCTACACAAAGGGAAGTCACACTGGGAATCCTTCTTACTATTTTAGCAAAGTATAAAGACTGTATTTAAATGTTGTTTTTCTTTTAAAATCAAAAACTGCATAATTTAAAATATTTTTCTGGCTTCTAACAAAAATATCACATTTTGGTACAAATACTTGCCAAAACTACAGTACTATTGTGGGCTGTGCTTTTTAAGAGACCAACAACATATTAATATGCTCAATTGGTCATAAGGAAGATGACTGATCTACAGTGAAAAAACAGTTGGGAGCACCAAATAAGGTAGTACCGGTTTGGGATCACCACAGTTGCTGTCACTTGCTGACAATGCATCAGTGCAGAAGCTATGTATGGATACCCCCCCCCCCCTCCCTCCCTTAACTATAAATGCTTACTGGCTCTTTAACTTGTCAATAAAACTAATGCATTCACTATGTATGAAATTTGTAGGTTTTTTTCTTATTTAAAAGAATTTAAATTTGTTTCTGTGGAATTTGTTCATATTAAGTTTTTAATGCACTGTGCCTGCACACCCTTCACTAATTATAGAAAACCATAGACATAGTTGAGCAGATGGGTGAGTTGCCAATTTTAGCATGAGGCTCACCCATATAAACAACAGGAGAGGCTCTCAGAGTAACTTACAGGGATGAACATGTATTTAGTTCTAGGTTTCTACCGCTTTAGACAAGAAAATACAAACTGATCAGAGTTCAAGCAATTTTCAGAGAAAATACACTGAATTTTTATCTGGCAAACAAAAAGAGGAGAACAGATGCTTATGTACTCTTTCAGCATATTTTAGTACTTTGATTTATCAAAATTTATAATTAAAAATTTAAATGAAAAACCGAATTGTATAATTGCATTTATTAAAAATAATGAAATTGACTACGAAATAAAACAATGCTTAACTTTAGTTTTTTTCTGATGTCTTTTTTTTCTTTCTTTCTTTCTTTCTTTCTTTCTTTCTTTTTGTGCGGATCTAAATAAGGAAATGAAATCTACCGTCGCAGGTTCTGCTGCATCTGAGAGCTGAAGTTTGAACCGCATGATTTTCTTCACCATATCTGAGTTTCTGGCCATCACGGTGATTCACGTGCAACCACCTGCGCACACCTGGGAGCGCGCGCCCGTTGATGACAGAGTTATAATGGGCGGGACTGGTGCTGGTGGTGCGCTAGTTTAATAGCCTCTAGAAATAACAAATTAGATCAATTACGCTTTGAGGGAAAATAGCTCGATGGTACAGTCAGCTCGTTGTCAGATTTTATAAATATATATATATTTATAGCTATATAGATTTAAACTGTATATATGGGAGAACCTTATAATGCAAAAAGTAAAAGAAAACGTGAGATAGGTGATTTTTGGTCTGGATAGTAGGGAAGAGAATTAGGGCCACTGAAAAAAATTAAAAAGTTAACACATTTTTACATTTTATTTCAGTTTAATAGGGGAAAAAAGTCAGAATTCTGAGATTAAAGTCAGAATTCTGAGATAAAGGTCAGAATTCTGAGAAAAAAAGTCAGAATTCTGAGGGGGGGGGGGGTCAGTATTCTGAGAGAAAAAAAAAGTCAGAATTCTGACTTTTTTACCATATTAAACTGAAATTAAATTTTTAAATTGGTTAAGTTTTTTTTATTTTTTTAGTGGCCCTAATCCTCTTCCGTAGGATAGTGATTGTAATTACTGGCTATTTTTACTTTTACACCAAAAGTAATTTTTGTGTTTGATGAATCTGTACCAGAGGATAAATCTAACCAAGTAACTATTAAACCAACCAATTATGTTATGCTTATGAGATCAGATAGCCTGCCCATACTGTAAGCAGTGTTGGGCACATTACTTTGAAAAAGTAATTAGTTATAGTTACTAGTTACTTCTCCAAAAAAGTAACTGAGTTACTAACTGAGTTACTCCACAATAAAAGTAACTAATTACAAGTAAAAGTAACTATTGAGTTACTTTTGCGTTTCTCGCCCCCGTAACCCTCACCACCCAGCCTCCACCTTCTCGCCGTGTGTTTCCAAAGCCAGCTGAATAGAGAGGTAGACAAAGACAAGAATCTACAGAGAGTTTAGCATTTATTGCAACTCAACGTAAATGACATCAGGGGGGAACGCGATGTGAAGTTTTATAACAGGACATTCAGATCCGGTGAGTATATGAAATTAATAACTGGGGATGTCTAATTCTGAAATCCTGTGTGTTTGGGTTGTTATAGATACTGCAACATCTATCTATCTATCTATCTATCTATCTATCTATCTATCTATCTATCTATCTATCTATCTATCTATCTATCTATCTATCTATCTATCTAGATGTATACTCTGTGTGTGACATAAAATATGGATCTCCATCCCTGCCACAAAGGCCATCAAATAATGTTTAAAATAAAAAATACAGTAGGTTGAAAAGGCAGAGTATCCATCCATCCATCCATCCATCCATCCATCCATCCATCCATCCATCCATCCATCCATCCATCCATCCATCCATCCATCCATCCATCCATCCATCCAGATTTCTCCCTTTCTCCATATAGGCTATCATTTCTGGCTGTTGTCAGGTTCATTTGATCGTTCACGCTCTCCATAGTTCTCCTGTGGCGCGAGCACAGGGCGACTGTTGCGCGCCTTTAGCGAGCATGCGCGTTTCCTGTCGCTTGCGCGGTGACTCTTGCTGCCTGCGCTGTGCGGAGATGCAGAGGAAACCGTATGTGATGGGGAAATGCAGCTCAACGCAACACCGGTATTTCCATGTGGAAAACGCTGTTTTGCTGCTGGATTCCTCCTCACTCTCCATCTCTCTGTGTGCTGTACGTTAACACCCACCAGCAGAAACACCCACCCATTCAACTGACAGACGGAATCTCATCCTCCCCTCTCTCATGACAAGGCGCGCACCTCTTGATGACCTAAAAAATAATCTTTAATATCTCTTAAACAAAAGTAGCACAAACAATATTTTTTTCTGCACAAATCTGCACTAACGTTGCACTAACCATTCAGTCTATTTGCAGAGTTACGCAGCTGCGCACGAGTCCTATCATGAAAAAAGGTTCATTGTGCGACCTGAGTAACGCGCAGTAACGGGGTGTCTGCAATGGTAACTGCGTTATAGTTACAGTCAAAGTAATTAGTTAGATTACTCGTTACTAAAACAAGGTAACGGCGTTAGTAACGCCGTTAGTTTCAACGCCGTTAGTCCCATCACTGACTGTAAGGGATAAAATCCTCCCTCAGCAACTTTTACGTTTGCATCATGGTCCCCTTCCTATTTGGTTTGGTCCACTTTAATTCTTCAAAAATGTGTAATTTGTCTGTTTATTATTATTTACAAACGTTTTTTCAAAATCTAAACCTTTAAAGTTTTCTCTAAATAGTTAGAATACTGTACAAAAATTCAGCTTTACAATAAACTTCATGTAAAGGAACAATTTATATTGAGAGATTTCCATTTACTGTAAAAAAAAAAAAAATTACTTTGCACAAGAATGATAGGAAGTATTAAGCATTATGTTTGGATTCTGTCTACTTTCAAGGCCATATTACCCTGCTCTCATGACAGCTAATAAAGGGTCATGTTTACAATTTATTTAAGCCTATTCATATGTCTCTGGGATGTTGTAGAAAGCTTAAAAATATTGAAAGATATTGTCAAAAGCACTGAATTGGTTCTGATGCATAGCATACTTTCTTAACATTAAGAAATTATTATTTTTATAGCTTTTCCATGAGGATACAAACTGAGTCATCTAGTGTGTTTACATAAAGGATAAAGGATAATGTTGGAGATTAATTGAGCTTAATATCTGGTTCCTGCTGCCACATGCTCTACACAGTTGTTGATTGGCACTCACGTCTCTAGAGGAGGAGTTTGCTCCATGTTTTTCTGTGGGGGTCAAAGCTGGTCTTTCTCTCTCCTGCTCCAGTAACTGGAGGCACAGGTTACCTTCTTCATCAGCCTAAACTCCATTCTCAGGTAAGTGGGATCTTCCCCAAAACTTAATAATGACAAAATATGCAGCTTGAAAATATGGGTGTTTCAGTGCTAAATGTTTTTTACAGAGGTCATTACAGAAATACAATAAGATTTTAGTCCACTGGCTATCAAATACAATCATTTTTTTGTTCTTTTCGTCTTATATGGAGCATGCTGCCTGCAGACTTATTTAGGATAAAGGTAAAATATTTTACAAGTGAAAAAGAACAAAGATTTTAAAGCTTGGACTTAACTTTCCAGAGGACACAAGGCCTTCTACTCAAGTCCCAAAGACTATAAAAGGAACGTCATGAGAGAGCCACCCAGCATTGCTATTCTTGGACATGCTACTGATAAACTGTGACAGATGCACGAGGGGCATGTAGAAGTACCCAAGCTTTGCATAATCAGCTGGTTGCACACATGTTAAGCTGTTAGTGAATAGCTTTATGTAAGTAAATCTTAAGAGCTCAAACATTCTTAGAAGAAAATATATGTAATTGCAGGGATTTTAGATGACCTAATAGTTAGGTGTCAGTTAATTAGTACCAAGCGCAAAGTGAGAACCACCTGTATAATATTGAATAGGGTTTCCTGAAACAGTTCTCACCAATCAAAGTAGGGTCAGTCTGATAACCAGGATATTAAGTTTGTATTAACACCTGGATTAAATCAATATGATTTGGATACATGTTACAGATGATTTAAAGTACTACAATATGCATCCAGAGGGATGTAGAGCCAGATGATCTTCCACCTATGACTATGGTGTCTTTAGGAGCAAATATTTCCCCTCAGAGGAAGAGGCCACTGCTTCCGGGGATTATTGTTACTATGAGGATTATCTGGTCATATTGACTGTGTGTAGGATTGGTATTTGGAACACACCTTTTCTCTCTGCAGTCAGAACGTTGATTGGAGTACAAATAAGTGACTTGCATTCATTGCGCCCCCCTATCCCTGGTTGAGCAGTATTATTCAACAATTACTTACTCATGATCTTTGAAATGGCTTTCTTCTAAACTCTAACATGTGTCTATATTTTTAGAAGGCTACGGGCTGTTTCACTGCTACAGCCATGGCACCCAAAAAGAACAAGACGACCAAAAAGAGCAAAGGAGACATAAATGATATCATGGTGGAAAACAGCCCCATTAACAAAATTAATGGACTAAACACTCTGATCGAGGGAGGAAATGGCTTCAGCTGCATTTCCACTGAGGTCAATGATTCTGTGTACGCACCAAACCTCCTGCAGGGTTTGAGCAACATGCGACAGGAAAGTTTCCTCTGTGATCTAACAGTCACCACCAAATCAACAACATTTGATGTCCACAAGGTTGTCATGGCCTCTTGCAGTGAGTACATTAGGAATATCTTAAAGAAGGATTCAAACCTGCAGAAGATTGACCTGAATGACCTCTCACCAGTTGGTCTAGCAACTACAATTACATATGCATACTCCGGGAAGCTTACCTTATCTCTTTACAGTATTGGCAGCACAATTGCTGCAGCAAGGCAGCTTCAGATCAGCACCCTGGTAAAAATGTGCAGTGATTTCCTCATGCAGGAACTCAGTGTAGAGAACTGCATGTATGTGGCCAATATTGCTGATGCTTATGACCTTAAAGAAACCAAGGATGCAGCTCAAAAATTCATGCGAGAGAACTTCATTGAGTTTTCTGAAATGGAGCAGTTCCTGAAGCTGACGTATGAGCAGATTAGCGAATTCCTTTCTGATGATTCTCTACAGCTCCCATCTGAAGTCACAGCCTTCCATATTGCCATGAAATGGTTAGACTTTGACGAGAAACGGCTAAAGTATGCGGCAGATCTTCTGACTCTCATCCGCTTTGGAACAATCTCTGCTCAAGACCTTGTGAATCATGTCCAAAGTGTTCCTAGAATGATGCAAGATACAGAGTGTCATCGTTTACTCGTTGATGCCATGAACTACCATCTTCTCCCATATCAGCAGAACATCCTGCAATCACGTAGAACGAAGGTGCGCGGTGGCCTTAAGGTGATTCTCACAGTTGGTGGACGTCCTGCCTTGACGGAGAAATCTCTCAGCAAAGATGTTCTTTACAGAGATGAAGACAAAGTCTGGAATAAATTGACAGAAATGCCAGCAAAGAGTTTTAACCAGTGTGTGGCAGTCCTGGATGGTTTCCTCTATGTAGCAGGTGGTGAGGACCAGAACGATGCGAGGAACCAAGCAAAGCATGCTGTTAGCAACTTCTGCAGGTAAACACACTAATCTGTTTGATCATACCTTCTGTAAGATTACTACTTTTCTGTGGTGACTTATTTATACTCATTGTTTAGGTATGACTCCCGCTTTAACACTTGGATTCACTTGAGCAACATGATCCAGAGACGTACCCACTTCAGCCTCAACACCTTCAATGGTCTTTTGTTTGCCATTGGCGGCCGAAATGCTGATGGTGTCCAGGCCTCCATGGAGTGCTATGTACCTTCTTCTAATCAATGGCAGATGAAAGCTGCCATGGAGGTACCTCGCTGCTGTCACGCTAGCTCTGTTATTGATGGTAAGATCCTTGTTTCTGGAGGCTACATCAACAATGCCTACTCCAGGGCTGTGTGCGCGTATGACCCCTCCACCGACACATGGCAGGACAAGAGCAGTCTGAGCACTCCCAGAGGATGGCACTGTGCCGCTACCATTGGAGATCGAGCTTACGTCATTGGTGGCAGCCAGCTTGGAGGGCGAGGAGAGAGAGTTGATGTTCTGGTTGTTGAGGCTTACAACCCGCACAGCGGCCAATGGAGCTACTGCGCGCCACTTCACATAGGGGTCAGCACAGCCGGGATTTCCATTTTGAACAACAAGATCTATCTCCTTGGGGGCTGGAACGAGGGTGAAAAGAAGTACAAGAAGTGCATTCAGGTTTACAACCCTGATCTCAATGAATGGACTGAGGATGATGAGTTGCCAGAAGCTACAGTTGGCATTTCGTGCTGCGTCGTCACCATACCTACAAGAAAAACTAGAGAATCCAGAGCCAGTTCAGCTTCATCTGCTCCAGTCAGTATATAGGGGTGTAGATCCCAACAGTGATTAAGTTCAGTCGTCATATCTCCACTTTGCCTATTGCATTGTTGCTACTATTGGATATTGAGTTTCTTAATTTAAGCAAAGAAGAAGAGAGGTTTACCACATTTATAAACAGTATTTCATATTTTCATTGCTTAACGTTGTTGATGCAAAATACTGTTATGTAATTATACAAAAAATAATCAAATTATATTTTTAAGGGGCCAATTCAACTGAAATATTTTTAAAAGCTTAATGCTTCAGTAAATATAATAAAACACCTAAAATGCTGAATGTTGAAGAAAGCATAACAACAGTAATGTGGTGATGATGTGTTTTGCTACTGTGACTTTCACATATAGAATAGGAAGCTGGAGAAAGAATGAGTATGACGAATCCTACCAGGAGTAGGTGCTTATGATCAGTGCGTTAGTGTATAGTTACCCAACAGGTTCTATGACCTGATTCGCTGCATAGAGTAATCCTATGCCTTATTCATTGTAACTTTTTAATCACGACGGGCATAATTCAAACAGATTCTGTGCTTAAGATAGATAATGGCTAAAATGATTTTGTAAAGAAAATACAGACAAAAATCCAAGGCGGTAACAATGTTTTGAGCCTGAGCTTGTCCCGAAGATCATGAATTTCCTGATAGCTCATGTCTTTCTATTTTATGTTTGTTTTTAAATTAAAGTGATGAGTTTTAATCTCCTCTGAGAACTGTCTTTTGTTGCCAAGTGACTTTTAATGACTCTTAGTATGACTATTTCTATGTTGTGGTTATCCAAGTATTAGTCCAAGTAGGTTACAATGATCAGTCCAAAGATATTTAATATTTGGTTCAGTGACCACATAAATGTATATGTTATATATCTGATTTAGTTATTATATTGTGGAAGAAAATTATTATTTTGAACTTACCAACCCATTTAAAAATCTATTTTTAGAGCAAAAATGAAATAATCCTTGCTGGAGATAAGTTTCTTTGACATATTATATTATTTTTTAAAGGAATTTGAGTCACTGCAACATTTAATTTCATTATATCATTTATAGTGTAATTTTGAAATTGATTTTGAATTGTAGCTATAATGAAAATGTGAAATATACTGATAAATGATTTCATCTCTAAGTGAGCTAATTTCGCTTCATACTATATAAGAACATAAAACCAGGACAGAACAGTAAGTAAATATGTCAAAATGAAAAAAAGCATGACTTATCCGCAATGTGTTTCTTTAGGAAGTGGTCCTCGATGTCTACTAGTTCCATGTTTTTTCCCTGCTTAAATATTGCATTAGCTTTGGAAACATAGTATGGCTTAGTCATACATAGTATGGTTTACACACCCTCTATTGTATCCTCTACCTCTTACAAAATTTCAGCAGAATAATTTACGTTCCTTTTAAAAATCATACCATTGTTTCTAAAAGTAACTCTTACAGATGATTAAGCTACATACTATCCTCCCAGTGACACTCCCATTAGTAAACACCTTTTATAAACAGCCCAGAGGAAACATTCTGCTGCTTTACATAATCTTTGACTGGAGATGCAATATGATATGAGCTGCACAGGTGTGCCATGTATGTCAAGGGCCATGTTCTCTACCATGTAGTGTAGTTTTTATGTAAAGCATTTTGTGGTGCGCTCAATCTTGTGAGGAAAAAAAGTTTGTTTGAAATGTCCTGTTCTATATAAATTTAACTAGAACTTAGGTTACAATTAAAGAACAACTTTTGGAATTTTTTTTTTTTTTTCAAAATGTAAAGTTTAGCATAAAAGAAGACTAAAGAGCTAAAGGCATATATCTAAAAAAAAATCATATGAACAAAAGCTTAAAGGTGGGCTTTCTATAGACAGAAGCATTCAGGGCAGCCTTGTTTGCAGTAACAGCAATAGCCAATGTGGATGAAATAGTTTTTGCATTTAGAAAAAAAAGGATAGTAACCTCTGTTGGTCTCAATACTGCAAGCAAAACTCTGTCCAAACAAAACTCAATCCATATTAGGGAAGGCTGTGGGTGCAGTTCAGACAAAGAATGCTATTCTACCGACCCACGGTTGTATTGTTAACATGCCATCCTATAAAAGCTGCTGTGTCATTATTACATTTTTATTTTCTTAGAATTATGCTGCAATCAATCTTTTTGAAAAGCTTTCACCTTTGATTTTCTTGTCATAAACATGACTCATTCATTTTTAAGTGGTCAAAGTTATATGACTAAGCAGTTTGGCACCAGTGTTCTGCATTCAATTGTAGAAAAACAAGACGGAGAAGAAAAGAGAAACTAAATAAATGTAAGGAGGTTTTAAGAAACTACAGACCAAATGTTGTGTACTGAGTTTTAGAGATTTTTCATGCAATAATGAAAGCCATGCTTTGCTTTGATTTTCTTTCTGGTTTTATTGGTTACAGTTATACAAAAATGCTGGACTGGTAAGGTTGATATTGTAAAGAATACAGTTAAAATTTTTACCCCCTGTTTATCAAATCTGTATTTATTAAAGGATTTTAAAGATGGATCTGAAGTATTATTGTGTTTACAAAATGAAAAACATATACAAATACACATATACAAGCATATACAAGTTATTTGTCTATGTATAGTTACAATAACAAAAAACACTTGGGTCTGTGTTTGAATTTTTGTGGACTTCCACCTCTCTACACAAAGCAAAAACTATGAGAACAGAGTAAAAATTCTATTCAATAAGTTAGGATGTTTTCTTCTGAGGAAGCACCTTTATATGTAATAAAATTATATTTTGAAAATAAAAATCTTTAAGCAGATAATGAAAATATGCTGCATTGAGCTCTTGTTCCTTTGCCATTGTTTTTGCTTTAAAAAAATTCTTAATGTTGTATTTTTATGAGCTGTAACAGAAAATCTTCAATACTAACCAAAATAAAAAAAAATCATAATTTATCTTGAGTGTTATATAATGAATTTTGTAACTTAACGAGATGATATCAATAATATTGCAATTTGTTGAAGGTGGCTGAGTTGTCCTCAACAAACAAAATAGAAATCACGCTTGTTTTACAGGATAGAGCACTTTTATGCTTTTTGTAGCCTATAGTCATTTCTATTGTAAGGAGCCATCGTTAAAGCAATGATTTTAAATTGAAAAAACATTGAATTATGCTTACAGCTTATTTGCTGCAAAAGGTTAACTGGATCCTCCAGCACTTGTCTTGGAAAGTTTGATTAATTAGTCATAGGGAAGTATGTAGTACGGAGGAATGGTGCTGGTTGTCACACTCATCACAACTAAGCCAGCACAGGGCATTGTAATAAAAAAAGATTTTTTGGCTGAAATGTTCAAAAATGGGGTCAAAGGTTAGTTTTAACTATTTCAGTTTAAACATTATTTTGGACTCTCCTTTCCTGGTACAAATATAATGACTGATAACCAATTCCTGTGATAAGCTATTAACTTTGTTGTCATTTGCGTTTAAAATCTTGCTTAACTACAAGTTTAATCCAGTTGCCTGCATCCCTTTAAATCAAGTCTTACAAGCATCATTCTGTCTGTTACCTGGTCTGAGACTGGTGGAAATAGCAAGATTACAAATATATAAAAAAAAAATGCTAAAAAATATATGGTAATAAAATATTGTAAAAATATGCTACATTTCAGTCTGAATATTAAACCTCAGTTTCATAAGTTTCAAATTTGGTGGTAGTAGCATGTAGCCTTCGTAAACACCTACATTTACAAGGTATATTTACATAAGGACAAAGATTTCAACAATTTAAGTAGCATTTTAATGTGACCATGATTTAGAAAAACAAAACAAACTGCCTACATCTTTTCACAGTATGTAAATAGAAAGGTGTTAATAAACTCATAAAGTAGCAAAATAAACTAAACAATCACAGTGTAACACAGGATTTTGTGCAGTGGATAGATGTAATAGCATAATGAATAGATATTTTGTAGGCACTTTTTTATCTTTATCATGTTAATATAGACCAGAAATTTTTTGTCGCTAAGGTGAATTTAATATTTGGCCTTTAAAATTCACTTGAACAGTTAATAAGATATTACTTTCAGTCAGTCATCTTTGAACTCCAGCCGTATTAACATGGGATCACAGTGATCTGTTAGATCAGGAATCAGCAACCTTTGGCTTAGTTGCTCACTTAATATACTAAACAATGCTCTTTTACCCAGGGCTTTTATTTAGGTTTTTTTTGTTAATGTTCTTTTTATTTTATTTAATTTTTTTGTGTGTATGTTTGTTATTGTTTGTTGTTCTGTGCCTCCATAAAACAACGCTGGTACCACCTTGACATTATAATAATGCCTACATCTTTTCACAGTATGTAAATAGAAAGGTGTTAATAATAATAATAATTATTATTATTATTATTGTGATTATTATTATTATTATTATTAGTGTTATTAATATGCTGTTTAATGCTTATTTCAATTCCTAGTTGGTCATGAGCCTAGCTTCCTGAAGTGCTGAGTCATGTCGGCCCTCCCACAGGCGTCACGTGTGTAAATCCAGGAGGGCGTTCATCTGTTAAACACAACGTAAGACGCGTGCAGCGGCAGTCTGTCTCTGTAAAGCTAGAGTTCAACAGTTCATCTCGCTGCCAGTCTACCACGGAGCCGCGGAGTAAACTCCGACAGTAAATAGCTGTCAGCCAAACCGACGCAACTTGTCACCGCCGAGCGGCTCTAGTTAGACCCCGACTAACGCATTGCTCTGCCGTGCTAACCGGTTATTAGCCGGGCGATGAGAAGGGGGCCTGTCTGTTCTTGGATGTCCAGTTAAGGTTACCCAACAGCGTAACCTGCATCAACTGCCTCTTCCTGTCATCTACCCGCTTCATCCAGACGGGACCAGACTGCACCGCTTGTTTGGACTGAGACTTCATGCTAGATCCTCGTCCGTTGGACCACCTAGCCTGGTAGCTAACCTTTGGTGAGCAGTTTGCAGTTAATAAGCAGCCAGCAAGACACCGAGCGGCCGTCTGTCCGTGTGTGCCATGGGCTTGCTGTCACAAGGATCACCCCTGAACTGGGAGGAAACAAGGAAGTATGCGGATCACATAAGAAAGCATGGCATCATTCAGTTCCTCAACATCTACAACAAGGTCAAGGATCGGCAGAGAGATGTGTTGAAGTGGGGCGACGAGGTAAAAACCAGACTTGACAGATTTCCCCTGCTTAGATCTTCTAGGCATGATGCAATAAGGCTCCCTAATGATGCATCAGCCCAATAATTGTTTCTACCACCAGCTACATGCAATTAAATCACATTTTTACATTTGTATGCATTATTTTTATGAAAATATAACTTTTCCACTGTGTTTACCTTTAGATTCCTCTTTTTAAATAAGTTTTTTTAGAGCACCCATTTCAAAATAGTATATTTTTAAAAGCATTTAATATAGAGGTCCCATCATATCCAGTTTTAAAGAGAGAAGTGATGAAAGGAATAACCAATAATCACCTTTGTTTTGTTTTTTTTATTGTTTTTTATATATATATATTAGATGGTTTTTGATTATTTTGGTGCAACAGTCTAAAGTAGACAATGTTGTCTTATAAGCAACCAAAATATCATTCATTGTTGTTCCACAGTAGAGAAAATTAGGTTGCATAAAACACACAAAACGATGAGTTCATATAAGCAGGGGCGGAGCTAGATGGGGGGCGAGGGGCCAATCTGTGGCCACCCCTGCCATTTTT